TTAGCTCTCTTCACCACATTTGCTTATGCACACGTTTGTCTTCAGTGATTGTGTCAGTAGAGCGGGCACTCACTGATATGATTTTAAGTTCTTTGACGTCTGATAACTGATCCCTTCTATACCTCATGGTCAGTCATTCTTTCTTGTTTTATATTGACACATGCCCTTGAAATAATACATAAGAACACCATCCCACCCCATCCCACGAGAACTACCCTGTTGATTCCTATTTGAACATCTGCTTTTGACTTATTGGAACAGGTGTATATACTAGGAGGAGTAATTTGGGCACTTTTTAAAAAATCTGAAACACGAATTATCGTGAATACTTATTGTTGATTTACCATCTGTAAATACATACATGCTACCTGACTGTTGGATACTGTCACATCTGACTTATAATGACCCCACGTAGTGGCCCATGAAGATCAATAAAATGGAACCACAGAAACAACTCAGTTATTCTGCTCTTCAAACAAAGTGGTTTCTCTAAGGGGTTTTCAAAGATGGACTGTATTTCACAATCAACTGCAGCTGATTTATTCAAGGGATACCAAGTTTCTTGATTGACTCTACCCCCCACAAAAAAAGGCAGTCATTAAAGAATGCAGGCTAATATGAGTATTTTCCTAAGCAGCTTGTAGTTTACATCTTATCAGGACTTTCATGAAAAAGCAGTGCTTGTCTTTTTTATATTTGATTATTAGAACATTAGAACTGAGATCCTTTTTCAAAATGCCAGAACCCAAAGCAAGAACATTTGTCAGCAATGCACAGAGTTGAAATCTCTTTCTTTAGAGACTTCTGCTTTGTGTTTTTGGTTTGCTTTCCTCCTGAGTAACTGTGCCTCTTGGAGTAGAATACCCACCGAGTGGCCTTACATTTTCTGTGAATTACCATTGACTCTGTCAGCCTTTGTTGTTGCCTTTCTGGGGGATCAGCACTTTAAAGTGTGGGTCGTAGGAAACAACTGTTGAAGATTTAAGGAGATGAATATCTGAGGATGTTACTTCAGTAAATCAACCTTTTCTGAATGCCAGTTCCTTGAAAATGAGACCAAGTCAGATTCATCTGCACATTATAGGACACAAGACGGAGCTCAGTACATGTTGAATTTACTCTCAGGTCGTATCACAATAACGCTGATGAACAGAGCAAAGCTCAGGGTAGCAGCCATGATTTGGAGGCTAATGTGTGCTAGGCACTATACTAAGCATTGACGTGCCCCGTTTCATGTAATCCTCCAGAAAACCTTGTGAAGTTGGCATTATTATCCCCACGTTACAGATGAGGAACTAGAGTTTAAAAGGTTAAGTAACTTGAACTCAGAAAGATTAAGTAGCTTGCCCTTGGGATCACAAAGCCAATAAGGGCATAAAGCCATATATATTAGAACTGTAGTCTGACTAGCCTCAAACCCTGTGCTTGTAACCAACTACTCTGCTTCCAGAAAGATCCATGCTATATGACTTGTTTCCAGTATCGTGAAGATTTAAGGGGATTGCCCTACTTTTACGTGGGGTTATCAGCTCTCTTGATAGAAAAACCTACCAGCTTAGCCAGAAAATAACCCGATGCTGTTAAATCTTTGTGGCTCCCACGTATTTGAGTGGCTTGCCATATTCCTTGTGTTGGTTCTAGAGGAATCCAGGAACAAATATTTCACATTTAGGAAGACAGCGACTATTTGAACATTGAAAACGGGGCAAATTTTCTTGCCCCCATTTTTGGGGGCTTCCCTAGTAAGGGTCTTTCATGTACTGTATTTCATTTGCGTAGAACTTTTGTAACGGAATCTTGGCACATAAGCAGGCAAGAATTTGTGATCTTCTCAGAGGCCCTTCAGGCTCATTTTCAGCTGTCCTTCTAGGCCTGGAATATTTCCCCATATTATGAGTATGCTAGCCAAACCAGGTTGGCATGTTTGGAAAAGAAAACCCAAATTCATTGTGAGTGGAAGCCAGGGAAAAAATGTTTAATCTCATTAGTGGGTGGGCTTTGGTTGTCATAGAAACAGCTCTGTCATCCTAAGTTGTTACTAGGCAGGAGCAGCCGGGTCATTCCATAAATCATGTCTGTCATAGCTGACGGTGATGCATTCCATCTGCTCCATCATTGCATGCCATAGTCTGCACACTTCAAATCCCTTCCTTCAATCCATCTGCTGCCCCCTCCCCAGGCCCAGCCACCTCCCCCAGATGCATTCTTTCTCAAACTCCCATTATGGACTCACATTCACTTTCCATATACATTTAATGTAGCTCTGAAAATGTACGGAAAAACAAAAACATTACATTGTCTCGGTATAGGAAGGATTAGAAGAGATAAGGAGAAGGAACTTAATGAGATTACCCTTGAGAATCCGACATACACATCAACACTCTGTGGTAGGTATTTAGGTCTTTGGAACTAGTCACCATGACTTTTTTAAAATGAAATTTTAAGTTCTTTTAGAATGAGGTATTTTTAAGATAGCATTTTGTTTTAGGTGGAGAAGTATCATTGCTATTATCATTGGAAGTTCTCCCTGGCTCCCCAGTTGAGAAGATCTTTCATGTGTGAGACATCAGAGGGTGCCACCTTTGTTCTCCAGTTTAGGTATTAAAGAGCACACCGAATGGTGTGTGATTAAACATGTAAGTCCAGATAATGCATTTGCAAAGGTTCCTTTATTTTAGGTTTAAGCCTGGATAATTGTGGTCTTAATCTCAGGATAGCAAGAAAGAGAATTGTACATGAAAGTATTTACACAAAGTTCCCAAAGCCCTGTGGATTATGCATTAGTTTAGATAATGAAGTAGGGTAGATGGAAGGAAAGGAGAATCTGGGTATTCGTGCCATTTCTAATGTGTTTCCCTGAACATTTGCCAGACAATAACCCTTTAAGATTGTGCCCATGGAGAGTTATATAGAGGAAGAGACATCTGGTTTATTTCAGTGCCTAATACCATATCAAAACACTTGGTCTTTAATTTAGAGGAGATCAAACAGAAGGACTGTTTAACTTTGTTGATTATATCAGGCTTCTTTGTGATAATTTATGTTTTGATTTCTACCTCAGAGCTAGGGTGTGTGTGTGTGTGTGTGTGTGTGTGTGTGTGTGTGTGTTTTAATATGGATAGTTAAATGGTCAGTGGGCTCTAACAAAAGAAAAGAAAATTCAGGGAAGTTGACGTTTAAAAGTAATTCATGAAATGTTTCTTTGTTCCTTACACTCAATAACATTAGCATAATCAAGATGAACTGAAATGTGCACTGCAGTGTTTAAGCAATTGGGCTAGCAGTGCCAGGGTTGGGTCTGGGCCTGCTCTATTGTTTCTCTTTTGTCTGAGGCCCTTTTCATTAGCCTCTGGCTTATTGGCACCCTGCTGATTGGAATGGACCATGACTGATAGGAGGAGGAGCCTCATTTGTTGCAGTAAAATGAGGCATATTACCGGTTAAGCCTGGCAGAAGGTATTGGGAGTTATTCATCATTGGTCATTTAACAGTATGAGAACCATGAGCTGCATGCAGAATGAGTTCTTACTTTGTGTTTGCGCTCTAGACCCTAAATCACTCTCATTCCCATTTTTTAAGTGACTTTCTTCTTCATCCTACAGACACCAATATAGGAGTTTGTAAGGCCAGAGAATCCAGAAAGTATTATGTCCTTGGTTTAGACTGTCCTTTGCCAAATAAAGCCCTGTGTTTAGAATGCCTGGAAGTAGCACAACAGTTTCTATAGAATCATATGTTGTGTGTGATTTATAACAGGAGAATAAAGTTGAATAAAAGACTGGCGTACACAGAACACATCCAGAAATCTGTACTATTGTACTTTTCTTAATGTTGTGTTGTTCTTCCTTTCCCCACATCTACATTGTTGGGTTTTGTTTTGTTGATAAGTAAAATGCAATAGAGCAATAATGCAAGATGTTGAGCCCATTTATAAGTTAGG